TAGAGAGATTGTAGGCGCCCAGGTTGATATTACCACCCATTTATCAGCTCTCAGCCTTACATTAAAAAGCTGCCACCCACTGGGTCCACACAGCCCCCGAGGACTATTCACTAGTCGGATAACATTTGAGAGTTCCGACAGCATCACTCGCTCTTAGGGCATCTTTGCTAACTCCTAGCCTCACTGCTTTCCTTCATGTACTGAACAGTCCTCCATTTCAGAATTTTATTCCAGAATGSTGCTGCAAAACAGTCTTTTTCTGGGGCGAGGGACCAGGGATTGAACCCTGTGGTGTTCAACCACCGAGCCATGTCCCCAGCCCTTTTAAAATTATTTAGAGACAGGGTCTTGCTACATTTCCCAGGGCCTTGCCAAGTTGCTGATGGTGGCTTTGAACTCAGGATCCTCCTGCCTCAGCCTCCGGAACCACTGGGATTACAGGCATGCAGCTTGTTTTGCACCAAACTGCAAAACAGTCTTTTAAATTCTTTCATCTTCCTTCTTTAAATTGTCTCCCTCAGAGTCAGATTGCCTCAAAAATCATCCCTGTGGTGGTTCATGGCAATCACATGAAATCTGGGTACTGTTGGTACAAAGACATGAGAATTCACTATTCAACAGAGCAGTCATTTGAACCTGAACTGGGTGTATCTGGGTCTCCCAGTTTCTAGTTTCCTCCTCATAGGCAAAGCACACAGAATAGGAGCCACTTGACCCCGTGACACCCAGCTGTGGTGGGAGGTGCCCAGCCAGGGTGTTTTGGTTTCAGGTGTAGAGCAGGAGCCCATTCTCTGCTGCCCTGTTCTCACCAGGCAGAGCACTGCACAGCGTTATGGCCTTATTTTGTATGCACTTTAAAAGTCTGAGATACCCTGGACTATTTCATCCACTCTCCCTCTGTCTGAGATGCCTCTGATGTCTTTTCTGAATTTCTAGGGTGTTGGCAGGAATCTGGCTAAAACCAGCACTGTAGAAAGTAAGAAGGGAAAGTAACATTTATATAGTTTAATTCATTTTAGAAAGCTAACGGAGTGATCACACAGCGCTCTCCCTCTGCGCTCATACCACTCACCTCCTTACAGACAAGAACGTAGATGCCAGAAACTTTGAAAACTCCTAACTCCTGTGACATAAAACAAGACTATACCTTTGCATGAAAAACACGAGGATAGCAATCACATGAGTCTTACCCAGTGAAAAACTTTGCCAACACAGTCAGAGAGACATTTCTAGATACCGAAAAGATCCAAGTAGGTGCTTAATAAGTGCCTTTTAATAAATCCGMAGCCTTGATATTAAACTGAGACAAGGCTGTAGGGCGAGGAGTACCTGGTCTGTCCCTGTTCACCTTTACTGGAGAGTGGCTGGGCTTTTCACTGGCAATTGCACCTACCAAGTGTGGACTTAATACAGTCCTACTTATGGGAGGCTTTTTCCTGGCTTTAGGAAAGGGAGTCCAGAGACAATTGAAATTCGATTGTTCAGGCCTTTGTGAGGCTCTGATGGAGGGGTAGGACCCATCCCTGCCCCCAGAGAGGGGATACCCTAAAGAGGTGAAATCCTACAGCTTTTGGCTATAGGATAGTTTCAAATAGTAGTTGACTATCATGAATATATACTGTGCCAGTTGGTGACAAATGCTATGAATTTCCTGGATTCAGTGACATAGTGACACCTTTACTCTCCTCTTTGGTGGTATGTTGAGTGCTTTGATGCCATTGTGACAGGTCAAGACCCTGAAACCCCCAAATGCTTGGAAATTTGCTTGAAATCTGGAAACACCCAAGCTCACACCTGAAATGCAGGGGCTTGAGGTGGTAAGGGTGTGAATCAGGGCCAGCGTGGCCATACTGTGACATGAGGTGTTGGCGCCCCYCACCTTCCTCACAGGTTTGGTTCTGGGGTGAGAGGCACTATGGCCTGACCCTCCTGTCARACATGGACAGTAAGGGTGGGATTCATTCATCCTGACCAGAGAAGGAAAAAGGATGTTTTCAATTAAACCTCTGAAGGYATTTTTAGGAAGTGACCCTCCTGAGTGGCAATAGACTTCTGACTCCTCATCCTTACAGACACCATATCTTTGTATAGATGTGGAAGGGTCCAGAAAGAGGGAGTATAGGCAGCTGGTCTGAATCCACTTTGGTGACTGACTGGCAGAGGCAAAGAAGGATCCMGAGTCTGAAACGTCAGATGCTGATCTGGTGAATGCACCTGTGAAAAAAAGCGGGGTCACACTGCCCACTTGAAGAGCCAGCTCACCCTACCCCAAGCCGCACCTGCTGGGCAGTCCTGTGTTGCCCCGCCAGGAGCATCACCAGGCTCCGTGGTCCTGATTTGCAGCGTCCGTTGTTAGCTGGTCCCTCACTGCAGCTATGACCGGGGCCCGAGTTGTTGGAAAGGGAGGTGATGTCAGCCAGTCGCGAAGCGTGTTGCATTCATGCCAGCTTCACGCTGTCCTCTGTAAGYCGCACTTCAGGACAGCTTCAACTGAGGCCTTGAAGACAGTGCTGCTGATGGAGGCTGAACACGTTCCTAACGGACACCACGAGTGACCTCTCACGAAGTAAGTGCAGAGTCCCTTTGGCCAGGGCCTCCCGGGGAGCACTGGGGAGAATGCAGCAGCCTCACGGCTTACTGCAGACCCAGGCAGAAGCCATCAGTCACAGGCAGGCTGTGGTGGCACCAAGCCCTCCTCCAGCCAGTCCTCGGTCCCTTGGGACACCTGCTGACCAACCAGCTGACCAGCACATTGCTCCCTCCATTCATCTCAGCGCACATGTGGGAGGTTTACACAGCGGGAGCGCGCTGGACTCCCTCCAGCCTTGAGCAGGAGCCAGGGGCCTCAGGCTGCAGAGGTCTCACTGGTCGCTGCTTCTGCTTGTGATGGGGCACCTGTGGGTGTTGGGGTAGGGTGGGGGTGTGTTTGGGGGACATAGGTCACAAACTTAATGAATGGGAGGATGGCACATTTTCAGCATCCCCTGGTAAGTCCTGCAGGTTTTTGAGCAGTGGTGATGTGGACACAGCCTCCCTGCCCTTCAGGTGCCTCTCTGCCTGGCAGTGACCCAGGAGGTAGGCGCCACTCCCGCTGTACAAATGGCAGGTGGGCTGTGAGAGGCAGGGAGGCTGGCTGGAGGCTTGCAGTGACCCCAGCAAGGCAAGTCACTGTGAGCTGTAMCTGGAATATCATGGGCACTGCAAAGGGTCCCTCTGCCTCACTCTGGTCCTCAGTGGAGGATGGCCCTAAAATCCAGGGGCAGGCCTGCCAGGGCACTCAGACAGGAGTGCACACACCTAGGGGGAGCATCCCCGGGGGCTTGCCTGCGGGTCCTTGTGCAGGGGAGCTGCTATGCTGGGCGCACACAGGGAGTCAGCAAGCGTGGGTCTCCCCCAAGTAGGTGGGGATGAGCTCCTTTCTTCATCTGTGCAAGTCACTTGTGTGAATATTCACCAGGCTCCGATATTGTCTCGTAGGCAGAAAGCGCTCTAGACCTCACTTGTAACTCGGCTCCTCTAGGTCAGTGGAAAGTGCTTAGTGACTCTGAATAGGCTGAGCCTTTGGTGGGATGTTTGGCCAGCTCTGGTGTGGACCAGTTCATCTCTTCTGCAACCACAGCAAAACAGTAGGTCCTTTACGTGGGAAAGACGTCTGTTTCATTCATGCTTCTAAGTGCCTGTCAATTCAATCGCCACTGGCGTCTCAGCGTAGAAGGACGTACATGTTTCAGTTGTTCCCCTTCTGAAATGTCACTGCTTCATGTTCCCCTGGCGTGTCTGTCCTCTGTTGGCTGATTGGTCTGCAGAAGTCCTCCCCATTGGCCAGCACTCCCAGACCACTCAGTTTGCTGAAGAGCAGAACCTTTCAGTGGTGTAAATTGGTATCCAGTTGGGAGCCAAGATGGAAGACAGAAGCCCAGAATGTTCTGGTCCATGGGAGCTGGTCTGTGGAGCACCAGGCTCTTTGGCTGCTAGGAAGGGGTAAGGCATATCTTCGTAATGATCCTGCTCTTTCTTGCTAACAGTGAGGCCATTTCCCAGATCACTAAAGAATGCCCAGGCTTTGTTGTTTTTTCATGTTCGATTTCTTTTTTGTGGGGAGCCAGGGGGTACTGGGGACTGGGGATTGAACTCAGGGGCACTCTGCCACTAAGCCACATCCCCATTCCTATTTTGTATTTTATTTAAAGACAGGGTCTCACTGAGTTGCTTAGCACCTTCCAGTTGCTGAGGCTGGGTCTGAACTCGTGATTCTCCCTCTGGAACCACTGGGATCATAGGCGTGCCCAGCTCATGTTCAGTTTCAAGATCAGCTTTTTCTAGGATTGGGCAGCTCCTTAAYATTCACACAGTGGACTCCATTTCAGCAAGACAGAAAACCAGAGCTGCCTTCTGGAGGGCCTTTGCTGTTTAGGGATGTGCTCTGCTAGTCCCCACATCCTGCCGTCTCTGTCCTCAGAGAGGCGCTCTGTCACTGTTGGCATAGCCACCTCAGTGATCTGTGTGCCTGTAGGTGCCGCCTCACCCCAAGCTTCCTGGCTACCCCCTGCTGTGAGCATGACCCTGCCAGGGCAGAGGCAGAAGGGGGGCAGAGCAGTCAGTGTAAACACACACCACAGGTGACCCAGACAAACACTTTAATTTTTTTTTTTTTTTGGAGGCATACTTTCGTCATCTTACCTAAAGCACTTTTCACTGTCTCTGGCAATCAAAGGTTACAGAAGACTCAGCTCAGCACCAGAGGATGACAGGGGGACTCACCCCTCTGTCCCCAGCCCTGCTCCCCCCTGCAGCCTCCAAGACCCTTTGCATTGTCACAGAGGCAGGCCCACACGCAACTGCACAGCCACTCTCTCCCTCCCTGTCTCTCAAAACCACACACACACACACACACACACACACACACACACATGCGCGCGCGCTAGAGAGTGAAAAGAAAACCAAACCCACGAAATCACACGGGGAAAAACGATTTAAGAGCATCATCTTCCCCCTCTGCCTCCGAGACCGAGCTCCATGTCTGGGGAGGCCTTGATGTGTGCTCGTGCCGGCAGGGGCTCACCCAGCCTCCATCATCATGTCCCACTAAGAAGGCTGTGCAGAGGCCACCAGTTCCCCAAGGTTCCCTTTGGAGGTGACACATCCCTGAGTTAGTCACTCTGCTTCTGTTTGTTGTCGATGTTGCCATAGGCAGAGCCCTTGTCGATTTCTGTCACACCAATCATCCATCGAACTCCCATGGAAGCTGCAGAGACAGGGCAGGAGCAGAGATTAGCAGGAGGACAGACTGCAGGGAAGTTTGCCTGGCGAGAACCTGGGGGAGACAGGTGGGTGCAAATCCCAAGCATCAGTGAGAGCTGGCAGATTGGAGGTGCCTTTTCAGGACCCCAGCTTTAGAGTCAATCTAAAATGTCAGTCTACGTGACATTGAAAGGAACCGAGTAAGGCTGCTCGGTTGGGTTTTCATTCTTGTGTACTGGAAGTGAACAGYTGTTTGTGGGACCCACAGAATTCTCAGCTTTCCATGCTGATCCCCATGGCAAAGAGGGTTCTTTTGCCAGTGCAGGGTAGGAGCTTATGGGACCTCAGCAAAGGAGCCTGGAAAATGCAGGGCTCCAACATCTAAAGCACCCAAGTTCAGCATGCCTGGGGCGAGTACTGGAGTGGTGAGTGAAGTCCCTGCCCTGGCTGAGAGCCTTCACACCTGTGGGTGTGAACSGTAACAACCTCTGCAGAACCCAGGCCTGAGCCCAGTTAGCCACCAGGAGGCTGGAAAACAGGGCTGCTGCTCAGAAGTGGCCTGTTCCCTCTGGAGAGGGCAGACTTCCATAGGTCCTTGGTACAAACAAGGACCACACCTCGGTCACCTTGATGTGCCCCCCATCACAGGGCCARGCAAACACTATGTGTGATCATCATTCATGAACCAACAGGGGAGTGAACAGAGTCTCCCAGAGCAGTGGCACCAAGCTCTGTAGACTTCCTCAGTCATGGATGGGGCAGAGGCACGTATCCCATAGGTCATTTAGAAGTGAGGAGACTTCTGCTTGAGGCCACCTCTCGAGAAGCTGAGACTCGAACCCTGGCCTGGTCCTAGAACTCACATAGAATTACTCAGTGCTACTGTAAAGTAGAAGAGGGGAGCACAACACGGACTCTGCTCAGAGGCCTGTGAGGAGGAGAGGAGCAACACTGTGCCACGCAGGGCGTGGCCTGTGGATTGGCAGCTGCTCTGCCTCGAGGGCAATGTGCAGCCTCACAGGCCCCTCAGCCTGGCCCCACGCTCCCACTGCCTCCACCTGGAAGCCTCTTGCTCTCCACTTACCCATGCAGAAGACGAGGATGAAGGTGGCCAGTGTCACAGAAGAGCCACTGCTGACCATGCTGACCAGGAACTGGAAGAAAGGGTAAAGCAGCAGCGAGGCCCAGAACAGCCAGTTGAGCAGGGCCCAGGGCCGCCGTGGGGGGACCCGGGGGGTCTCTGGGAAGACACCTGTCCTGTAGTACTCCTCCTGAAAAGCATCCTGGGGACAGAGGAAGGGACCCTCTGATACAGCACTGGACTAGGCTAAACTGGCCTGCCCAGACCCACCCAGGACGCACTCCACACTGACATTCTGGCCTCTCCACACAGGATCTGCAGACTCCACATGCAGTCCACCAGCACCAGCACCCTGTCTGTGCCCTGCAGCTTCCCAGGGGCTGGGACTTCAAGACCACACAGATGACAGAGGGCCTTGAAGCCTGTAGATGCCACTCACAGGAGGTGATGGAGCACAGGCAGACTTCTTCCGTGAGAGCAAATTAGGAAAATATTAGATGGCCCCTTCTCAGTATGTCTTGGGAAGAAAGAAAGAGTGGAAGCTAAGGTCCTGCTCAGAGGAAGGAGGGGCTCCTGCAGGTCTGAACCCAGCCATGGCAAAGCCACCCTCAGGGACTATATCCTGCTCATGCTGGTGATGTTCTGGATTAGGCAGGCAACCAAATTGTTGACCCAGAAGCACTTTAGACTGCATCCATTGCCAAAGATAACTGTAGCATCTTGCAGGAATATTCTGCCCCAGGGCCACAGCCAGGAAACAGCAAGGGCTGTGGGGCCTACTTCGTCTTGGCCACTACACCCATAGACAGCTTCATTCTCTCTGTGAAGCCCTTTAAAGACATTTCACTTGTTTTCCCCTCACCTTCTCCTGGTAGAGCTTGTGRAGCCAGGCCGAGCACTTGTCCTCATCTTCGGGGATGTCTTCCATTGGAATCCGCCTGCAAGGGCAGAGAGCAGCTAGTGGTGGGGAGGCCACAGCCATACCCGGGGCCAGCAGCACTTTCAGCATAACAGTGCCTGCTCTCGGGGCTTTCATTTAGGTGGCYTACACAGTGTGGAAGCAAAGAGGAGTACTTCCATGGAAGCCAAAGTGTAGTCATGGTCCAAGCAGGATGGAGCAAGGACCTGATTTGATGACACAAAGATGGTGAGACGCGGGGACACCTGCCCTTTTCTCTTTTCCCTCCTGCCTAACAGAAAGGCTCCCCRGATCTGACACTTGCCTTAGTCTCCAACACGTACAGAATCTACATTTAGGAGATAATACGCCAGTCATTTTTTCAGCAACGGCCAGATGCCTCCCATCAAGTGATCTGACCTGGTAGCACCAAGGCAGGCCCCTGCCAGAGTGTCACTACATGAAAGGACCTGGATGGGAGAAACCAGGGCATCTGCCCCTCTGGGCTCAGGGATCCCTGTGTCACTTTGCACCCCAGTGTTTACTCACAGGTTCAAGGGTGGCCCTGGGGCCATTGCTAGTAGGGGCATGAGGATCATTCTGCAGACAGCCCATCAGAAACGAGATGCCACTTTGCTCTGTCTCCTGTTCCATGTCTGTCTGTCCCTTTCTCTCTCTTGCTTGCTCGCTTTCTCTTCTGAGGCTGCTGGCTCTGGTGACTTCAAGGACTGTGAATTTACACTTGCTTTTGTCCTTGAGAAAGGACAAAAGGCTCGTTTCACTTCTCACTGCTCAGGAATATCTTAGGAAGAAGAGACACTTCAGAAATTCTTTGCCAAGGTGTAGCTTTTCAGAGAATGGAGGCTGGGATTTCACCTCATCAGAGATGACGGGAGCCACCACTTTTAGAATAAGGGCTTCCTTCTCAGGCAGAATTCTACAGAGGTAAGCTTTTAACATAATTAAGACTTACCCTGCAAGTTTCTCTGGAAACTTTCCTGTCTTCTCTTCCCCTTTCCTGTCCCTACATCTCTTTCCATGCATACACCATTTCTTTCTTTGCTCTTCTGATCTGCCCTCGTTTGCAGATCAGATCTTTCAGTGTGGTTCATGAGGAGGTTAGAGATGCTGCCTGCAAACTATTTCTTTGCTTGCACCAAGGAGCTGCTCTTTTCAGTAATGTCCTTGGCACTGTTGCCCTGGATGTTTTCATGCTTCACACTGAGGTGCAGTGTCYCTCAGAGCAAGGCCTCAGCCATCCCAACTGGGTCACTACAAGGAGAGAGGTGAATTGAGTAGCAAAAGGAATCTTCCTGGGGGCTGTGGAGATAACTCAGCCGTAGAGTGCCTGCCTCGTATGCATGAGGCTCTGGTACTGGTCCCCAGTACATTATAAAATCTCCTGGGAGGCCACGAGTGAACTTGACAACGAGACGGGAGCCAGTTTGGGGATGTGTGCTCTGATTGCCACAAGCTCGGGAGAGTTGCAGTGACCTAAGAAAACGTGGAGCTCCTGCCAAGTGTTGAAGGAACTTGAGAGAGAAAAGCGCATTTTGTCCCTGAAGAAGACCCCCTTAGGGAGGGTGGGGATTCCCAGCTTTCTCTGGCAGCAGCTGAGTGAAAGACAGTGGCCACCCCACCATTTGGAAGATCTCAGAATGCTGCTCTCTACTGCCTCTAAGGATCTGGGCTCGATTCCAGGCAGGGAGTGGCTTTGGACTTCAGCGGTCAGCCCACCARCACATCTCCTTGGGAATGTTCAAACATTATGTTGAGCCTAGTGAGTATGGTCAGCCACTGGCGTTTCGTTGAGCCATGCTGTAGCTTGGCATCAGTAGAGTCTTGAATGGGAAAATACATACCACTTGCCTGTGTCTCTGCTGGTGGGCATTTCAGGGGCTCTTGGTCAGACTTTGGAGGAGATGACCCACAGCACAGGAAACCAGGCCAACCCCACCAGAGTCAGATTGGACTTAATGAGTAAGTCACTGACCTAAGGCAAATCACCCTTKCGTTTTACCATCTGCAGCTTCTCTAAATTTTTCCTGCTCATCTTGGTGACATTCTGGAGATTAGACAGTAAGCCCATTGTGTTAGTCAATGGACAGGTGAAGAGAATTGGCCTAGGGAGGGTCTTCCCTAGTCATGACTAACTGGAGAGTAACCCACGTGAGGTCTTGCAGGAGTGTTCTGCACCTCTACGTCTCCTTACCAACACTGGGTGCTGTCACTCGTGTGTATTTGCACAGGGCAGATCCATCTTCCAAGAAAAGGGTCAATAAAACAATTGCTTTACACTCAATATCTAAATGATTGATTATGAAATATGGTCTGCCCTTTCACCAGCCAGGGCTCTGGGATGAAAATGAGTTGGTATAAGAGGTTCAAGAAGTAGCTGGGAGGGAAAGAGGCTTCCCCAGGTTAGATTGTTCCAAATAGTAGAAAGTCACTCGAGTTCATAACATAAATGTAGACTATAAATGAGTTCAGGGTAAAACAGACTGAATGCAAGATGTTAACCAGATGTCCCTAGAAGAAGGTCTCTCGGTCATTTGTGACTTATTTACTTAGCAACGAGCTTTCTCTTTTCTGAAAAGGAAAGAGGCAGCTTACCTGACATAGCAATCGGCATGATATTTCTTTCCATTTAGGACTCCCAGCAGTGTTGGGTTTTCATTATTTCTGAAATTGAGTGTACAGTCATATACAGCTGGAACTATAAAAATAAGACAAACACAGAGCAGTATATAGCAGGTGGACCCGTTTCTGTTTTGCAGACACACATTCGAAGACATAACATCGCTAACTGGTTGTCTACGAATGGCACAATCAGATTTCCTTGTGCTTTTTCTATGTTGTTCAAATGTTCTACACCAAACATGTAATCAGAAAACCCCCTTATAGTATAGTAATGAGTAATTGCTGAGGTCAGATCAATTTTAAAATTGTAGCAATACTACAATATTAGATCTAGATGTGTGATAACAATGATTGGCATCTTTCTAATATGCATGACCTGTTGTGCTCACAAATGCCCATATTTACACAAGACAAGTTAATGGGAAGCATATTAAACATCTAAGCATGTCTGTTTCCTGGGAGCATTTTTTTCCCCTAGAACAACAATGAGACAGCTACAAACCTACCATAAGATACTGACTGGAAGTCCTTCAGGAATTGAATCAGAGTCAGTTGCAACATGGCCAAGAAATTATGCATGATGTTAATGGTCCACTCAGTGGTGAGTGGCCCTGTCAGCACATTGGACTTAATGTGAAAAGTTGTGGTTGTAGCCCCCAGCCTGCCCCTGCTCAGAACGCTCTGGTTCTCAGGATGGAAGATGGCGAGAATGAACCAGTGAGTGATAGAAATGCCTGGTGGAAACGTGGACTCTTGTGCTGTGTAGGACACGCATGGACAGTGGAAGGAACAGGGATTTGTGTCAGACTGGACGTGAATCCCAGGGCCACCTTTCTCAGTGGGGTGGTGTTTGCTTGGACAGGTGTCTCAGCCCTCCAAGCCTAGTTCTGGAGTATGTAGTCCTTCTGATGCCTTTGTCACTGTGGCTGAAATGACAATCAGGTACTGGCTGCAGGTCCAGCACCTTGTGCTCACCACATTATGAGCCTGGCCCTTCATTGAGAACTCTACATGTACCATTGCTATCAAGAAAAGGAATAGAAAATACTAGGAAGCTTCACAAGTTCTTCATCTAGTTGGGAAAGTGGGGAACCCAGATTTGAAAATGATAAAATCACTATCATATTTTCCCTCCCTGTTGCCTGACCCCCCTGCAGGTGCTGCAGGCCCACCATCTTTGGCAGGGGGAGAGGGTCCCTCCTGGTGGCCTGCAGGAGTGCCTGGGAGCAGGGTCCCCAAAGTGAACCGCACCACAGAAAACAGCTGGTCCAGCCAGGCACTGAATCACCTGCAATCCCAACATCTCATGAGGGTGAGGCAAGAGGACCGTGAGTTCAAAGCCAGCTTCAGCAACTTAGCAAGTCCCTAAGCAACTTAGCGGGACCCTGGTTCTAAATAAAATATTAAAAAGGGCTGGAGATGTGGCTCTGTGTTTAGGCGCCCCTGGGTTCAATCCTTGGCACCAAAAAAAGAAAACAGCTTGWCYTCCATATCCTCAGCATCCAGCTAAATCCTGAGGCTGGCCTATGCAACAGTTCGGGGTCTCTTGCTCTTTGTCTCACGACGAGAGGAGAGATGAGGACAAGGCCACGGGAAACCAGCAACACAAGGCCTGAAGCCATGACGTGGCTCTGGTGACAAAGGGCCCAGCCTTGCCCCCCTCTCTCCATAGGATGGACCCCAGCCTTTCCTGGGTATACCTGGCATGTGACACCCAAGGAAGGTCTGCCCAGCCAACGGAGCTGCCCCCGAGACCCAAAGCTGTGTGATGGMCCATCCAACCAGAGGGCAGTGAGGCCCAGGGACCAGGGATTCAGGAGCTGGGAAGCCACATGAGTTATCAGGGAAGAGTGTTTTAAACTGCAAAGAGGACTAGAGGTCAGAAACCTATCATTGGTTTCCTTGTTTCTTCTACCTAACAATAATTCAAGGCTCGAAACTCGCAGGTCAGCTGCCAGACACAGGTGGTTCATCATCTGCAGGCAGCTGATGCCAACAGATCGGCAGGAAATGCCCCAAACCAACAGGGCTCACGTGGGTCTGTGGCCAGGGGCCCCTGCAGGATCCAGCACATTCCACACAGTCACACGGCAGTGCCACTGCTGAGCAGCAGAGGGCAGTGTTTGCTGGGATGCACTAAGGAGAGGTGCCCAGCAGGTTCTGAATCCCTCAGAGACCCTAATTTAGCAGTCACTCCTGCTGTCAGCCACATGCYGGCTCCAAGGCATCACCAGGGAACGGCACTGCAGATCACGGGCTGTGGGCGCCCTGTGCTGGCAGGAGTGGCGGTGCTGCAGAGGCTGCCTCCTTACCTACATCCCTCAAGCACCTCACAGTGATGGCGAAGCCCTTGGTGCGTGGCAGCAGGTGGTGTTTGAGGCTGGGCAGCCCCTTGGCTTGGGCCACCTGCATGCTGATCTGGTGTTTCTTCTCTGTGAACCGTGTGCCCTCGCAGTGGATCAGGAACTGGAAGGTAGAGGGGGGACTGTCACACAGGACCCTATGGGTCCACAGTGTTCCAAGGTCACACACAATCCCAGATCACACRAGGTTGTCAAGTCACACGTCCTGAGATCATACACAACCCTGCAGTCACACCGCCTTGTGGTCACACACCACCCCAGGTCGCATGCAATTCTGTGTTCACCCATGGATMCGAAGTGACACAGAGTTGTGGCCACAAAAGGACCCGCAGGGATTGGCAAGACGTGCTGCTCCCACGTACAAGATACTTCTCGGGGTAATCCCGGAGGTGCAACAGGCTCCTGGCGACTGTCTCGCGATCTTGCTCCCACTTGCGTGTGCAGAAGATCATTTCCGTGAAGTACCACATCCAGCCAATGATTGGGACGTAAGACAGCTCTTTCTTGGCCAGGACCTTGGAGTTCTGAAACAGGAAGCAGCACAGGGTGTCCATAAAAGAGAAGGCGGGGGGGGGGGATCACCCCTTATGGCTCTTGGAGGTGTTAGTGGGAAAGGAGAGGTGTTCACACGGGAAGCCGCACGCGTTCCAGAACACCCTGTGGCCAAAGCTGGTGGCCCTGGAGCCCTTCCCACTGTGTCAACGGGAGGTCAAGGCCACTCACTGTTGGGGGACAGGGAGGGAGGCTGGGTGCGTGCTGCAGGCAAGGCAAGCCAGAGTCGTTACAGACGAGGAAGTGGAGCCCAGAGAGGTTCTCGGGCACAGGCCCTTGGTGGAGCGGAGTCCATCAGACCAGCAGGTGCTCCGGCCCTCTGCCAGCTGCTTTTTCTCATCTCTGAAGCCATGAATGGTGCTGAGTGCCCGCCACAGACCTTCCTGAGGTGTTGCAGGGTGCGGCAGCCTGGCCCACCATTAGGTTGGCATCCCAGCCACCGAGCCCCAAGGGCTGCCGGGGGTGGCCCCAACCAGCTGTGCCCAGAACCCACAGGCCCTCTCCAGGCTGGGGAGCACCAGGGTTTCCATGGGTACCAGGGAGGGGACACAGAACAACTGGCCAGGATGCTCCTCCCTCAAGCTGGGGAGGTCCCATGTCCCAGGGGAGTCAGGCTGAGCTGCTCCTGACAGCTGCCTGGTTGAGCCCTAAACCTGAGCCACCCAGGGCCAATGCGAAGACGCCCCCACACGGTCCTTCCCCCGCTCCCACTTTCTACCTTGTTTAAAAAGCAAACTTCACCCTCCYTGTGGGGAAGAGGAGCACGGACACATTTTGATGTGCTTTTCATTTTGGACATGGAAATTCCCTCAAAGAGAATCTAGCCATGCAGCCTGAAGCTGGCTGGCCACAGCCCACTCGGAGGTGAGTGCTGGCAGCGTGGACACTCTCCAGAGGGAGCGATGGCTGCCCTTTGCCCACCCAAGGCCACACACTTTGTATGAGTTCTATGTGATTCTAAACCCACGGGAATGTCCCGCACTTTACAAACCAAGGCTCAGAGACGTGAAGTGACTTGCTTAGCACCACACGTCACGTGGCGAACAGCTGAGGAGGCCGAGTGTGTTGGCCAGTCTCCCTCTGAGGCTGACGTCAATGGGGCACAGGAGCAGACACGTGGGCCACCTTCCCAGGAGCCGTGCCCTCCTCCTTTTGCACCCAGACTCCCTTCTGTTCTAAGGACCCTTGGCAGGGGGTTTAAGTGACAGGAGCCCGCTCCATCTGTGTGGCTTTGGTCAAGAAACAACTTTTCTGAGCTTCGGGCTTCTCACCTATGCCATAAGGAAATGGATGCTAATCAATTTCACAGGGTTCCCACAAGGGTCGAGTAGCCTGTTACTTGTAATTATAATGCACCAATAAAAATGTGGGGGAAAGGGCTGGACAGCATATGGAAACCCAGAGAAGCAGAGTCGGGGAYTTCCACAAGTAGTGAAGAGTGTGGCCCTTATCATTGTCCCAGGCCTAGCACAGAGCCAGGGTCTCTTCATTCAGCCCATTTTCTAAACCCAGCATWAGCATAACAATGATAAATAAATCATATTTATCCCAGCATTAACCAATGGGCTCTGTGCTAACAGACTTATGTGACTTAACTAATTTATTACTAACAGACTAGAAGCTATGGTCCCCAGAAACAAATTATAAACATCAGGACGCTCTCAGGCCCATCAAGGTTTCTGTGTGTGGGTAGCAACAGCCTTAAGGAATTTCCAAGAAAACATACACTGACTCCAGATTGAGCTTGAAGGTAGACCTGACAGGCTTTTCTGACGAGTTAGTTATGTACAGACCCATCCCGATGCAGCATGTCTTGAAAGTCTGAATTTCTTAGGCAGTACAGGGTACTCCACAACCTATGGGGCTGAAGTGTCCTGCCCTGCCATTTTCTACTGGTATAGGGTCACCATCGTCATCATACATTCTACAGCTAAAAGTTTAAAAAGCTCGTGTGTGTATATGAGAGGGTATGTGGGGTGGTGAGGGGTGCAGCTCTCCTTCTCATCCCATGAGGCAGCCAAAGTCAGGACCACCACCACCCAGGGACACAGCCGTCCCATGAGCCCAGAAGGCAGTACCTTGGCCAAGGGGCCACCAGTACAGAGACCCACGGTAGTGGAAAGATCCACTCTGCCTCTCACGGATCCAGTGCCTTCCAGGCCTGAGATTGGGTGGCTCCCACCTCACTTCTGCCGTGAAAAATGATCCTAATGTGTCCCTTCTCGTTACCCTTACTTCAGCTTACTCTGTGAGTGCTAGTCAAGGTCTCCCCCAACATGGCAGCCTGCCAYGTGCTGGCATGAAGACCCCCAGTGCCTGTGCTGGATGTTAAGCTTCTTGGAAAAACAGTCAACACCTTGCCCAGCCACATTCCTGTGATGCCCCACACCTCTGACCCTCCCTCCGTGGGGACCTGCAGAGAGCCTGGTCAGGGGTGAAGACCACTCAGAGAGAGGAAGGCATCGTTAGATAAATCTTTCAAACGCAGGACCGTTCCCACAGGTTTATCAGTTTGGCCACCAGTTAGTCATTTGTTTAACCCGGGGTCATTTATTTCTACTACATATATAAACTGAGGCCTCGTAATTAGAAATTCAAAAACAAGTGAGACTTTTGTAAAAAAAAAAAAAAAAAAAAATGAGCTAGTTGGAATGTTCACACTTCAACACTTGGATGTTTTTCTTGACCATGAACTGGAGAAAGCAGCAAACTGAAGTTTGGTGGAGCCCAGGCGAGAGTCTAGTGGGCAAGGAAGAGCAAAGCGGGCAGTTTCTGTTCTGTCTCTGCCACTGACTGCAAGGAAGTTGTTGAGCAGAGCCTCTCTTCAGCAAGGCTCATGGCTGCAGAGGACTGGCTGTGGCCAGGACTGTCGTGACGCCTCAGTCCCTACCAGAGTCATGCACAGGAAAGAGAGCGGAGCTCAAGATGATGCACCGAGAGAGAGTGTGAGCGAGAGAGTGAGAGAGAGACAGAGACAGAGTGTGTGTGTGTGAGAGAGAGAGTGAGAGTGTGTGTGTGAGTGCGTGTACACGCATACCGAAAGGTGAGAGACTCCATTTGTGCAAACTTGAGCTCCACAACTGGGGCCCAGTCTTGCTTACGCTCCTTCCTTTCTCTGCTTTCTACATTCTTGATGCCTGGAGGAAAATGCCATGGACTGTACTCTACCAGAGAATTCTCCAGAGAGTCAATAAACAAAATGAACTCTGTTCCACAATTAGTCACAGCCCTGGGGGAAATGCGCAAACCACACCTGAAACACAAAATGCTCTCTAAGAATTCATTTCTCCTAGACTAGAAATAAGTAGTGTGGTCCGCCAAAGCCCAGCCCACCGCCTGCAGCTCTCGGGCTTCAGACAAACATCTTCACCTGCAGCCCCCAGTCGGCATCCCTCCCCTTGCCAAGCCCAGGTGGTGTGTTCACAGCTGGGCAGGTGTGCAGGTGGGCCTGGGGACAGGAGCAGCCTTTGGGGGCCAGTCAGGGATCGCAGTCCAGCAGGACATTTATCACCGCTGACTCTGCTCCAAGGGGTCACGGTGATCAGGACAGATTGGGAGAGAGGAGGTCCCTGCACATGGCTCTGGACTGTCCTTCCTGAGCCCAGGTCCTCATGCCCCCGCTCAGTTTCTATTCCAAACAGCTGGCCCAGGGCCTTCCTGGGTGGCTCTAGGCCTGAGCAGCTAGGAAGACAAGAAGGCGTAAAAGGGCAGGTGGCACAACAGGACTCCCAGGGGCAGGTTGTGAGGGCAGTTTGCCCTTTGCGCAGTGCCATCTAAGCAGCAGGCATTTGCCCCACCTCGCAGGCGTGTGGGTGGCAGGCRACAGGGCCCTGAGCCAGCACAGGGGGCAGGGCAGACAGTACTGTGAGCAGCATCCCAGAGTAGACCATGTGACTGGCACAGTGCATGGTGCCCCAGGGGACCAGGCCACCCGGCCAGCACTGCCGCCAGCCTCCTTTACAACTGGACGGCTCGTTAAGACATTGCCAGAGAATTCCAGTCAATGAAAGAGGAGCCTGGCCACGTCTACCGTGGGCAGCCAGAGTAGGCTGATGTGCCCGGGACCACTCATCAGCTCACGAGCAGGGGCTCTCCTGAGCTGCCACTCCTCTCCTGGCTGGTGACTCACCTGGTCACCTTATTGTCACTATCAGGTTCCTTGTCCGTGCCACACCTGGCCCAGGAGGTGAACTGTGAGGGCAGAAGCAGCAGCCTGCCCACTCCCTCGGTCCCCATGGGGCCTGCCTGGTGCTGCAGACAGGGTGGACGAATCCCAGCCCAGATGTTCCATAAGAACGGGGTTTCATCCGCACAGGGATCTCGCACAGAACATCTGGGTAAATCCCAGGTAGCAAAAAGCTCTGTCCTCAACTTTATCTTGCTTTTCAAAAATAGGGAAATGGCCACAAAGGGACCAGTGGCATCCCTCCCTGGGCACCTTTGCTGTCTCCCATGAGCTGGTAGACACTAGGCGTTAGACTAGTGCTAACACAGTGCCATTCCTCCCTACAGTCTGTCCCAGACAGCACTGCCCACATGCCAGCCTCCCCTTCCCACCCCTCCTGTGTCCTGTCTTTGCCACAGTGGGCCTAGCTCCTCCCCGGGACTCTGACAGCACCAAGGTTAACACCCACAGCCTCCCGGGGCACTCCTGGGGTGCTCCAGGGCACTGCCCTGTAGGGAACAGGTTGAGTACCAGCCTGGCCACCTGCATCCTGCCGCCCCAGGTGAGAATGTCCTGTTGCCCTCAGAAGACCTGGCCTCGCAGGACAGCCATGCACACTGTCCCTTCACCTCCCTTCATACAGCACGGRTCCTTGGAGACACTTGATCTTTCAACCCACAGCACCCAGCACAGTGTCTTCAAGGGCTCACGCCCACAGTACACAATTCCTTGGACACATACTGTGAAAATATGTGGCTTGTTGCCATCACTAAGAATCTTATTTAAGGGGGCTAGGGTTGTGGCTCA